TATTCCTTCCTGTAATGTTTTCAGGGTGTCTGCTTTGACTTCGATGGCCAATAGACACATGAAGTGCTCAACTTTTCTAGCCATAAAAGAAATGAAAATCCCTAAGCCAGCTGATATTCGACAAAGGAGCCAAAGACATACAATGGAAGAAACACAGCCTCTTCAACCGCTGGTGCTGGGAAAACTGGGCAGCCACATGCAGAAAACTAAAAGTGGACCCCAGCCTATCACCATGCACCAACATCAACTCAAAATGGATTAAAGACCTTAACATTAAACCTGAATCTCTGAAACTACTACAGGACAGAGTAGGAGAGACACTTGAACTAATAGGCACAGGAAGGAACTTCCTGAACAGAGTCCCATGGTCACAACAAGTTGGAGAGAGACTCGACAAATGGGACTACCTTAAAATAAAAAGCTTCTGCACAGCTAAATCTATCGCAACTAAGCTAGAAAGACAACCAACTAATTGGGAAAAAATATTTACCAGCAATGTATCAGACAAGGGGTTAACATCCTGTATATACAGGGAACTCAAGAAACTAATCCCTCCCAAACCTAACAAACCAATTACTAAATGGGCAAGGGAACTAAAGAGGGACTTCTCAAATGAAGAAATAAAAATGGCAAAGAAACACATGAGGAAATGTTCATCATCCCTGGTGGTGAAGGAAATGCAAATAAAGACAACCCTGAGATACCACCTTACCCCAGTCAGAATGTCCCACATCCACAAATCAGCCAACGACAAATGCTGGAGGGGATGTGGAGAAAGAGGAACCCTATTACACTGCTGGTGGGAATGTACACTTATACAACCACTTTGGAAAGCAGTCTGGAGGGTCCTTAGAAAGCTAAAGATTGACCTCCCTTACGACCCAGTCATACCACTTCTAGGCATCTACCCTGAACAACAGGAACCAATATACAAGGACACGTGCACCTCCATGTTTATTGCAGCACTGTTCGCAATAGCTAGGATATGGAAACAACCTAGGTGCCCCACCACAGATGAATGGATCCAAAAATTGTGGTATCTATACACAATGGAATATTATGCAGCCATTAGAAATGACAAAATAATGGCATTTGCAGGGAAATGGATGGAGCTAGAAGGAATCATGTTGAGCGAGGCAAGCCAAGAACAAAGAGACAAACAGTACATGGTCTCCCTGATAAGTGGATGCTAAATCCAAAAGGTTAGGTGATACGACAAAACTAACAGGACTTAAGAAACAAAGAACTCTCGCTCATCTGGTTGAACCACTACTAAATATCCCCATGCTGCTGATCACAAATATGGTATATAACATGTGAACACTGTTATATATTACAGACTGTGGTAGACAATTTGCTCCAGGGAAGTTAGAATGAACTTGTGACTTTGAAATTATGTAATCATTTAATCACAATCAAAAAAAAAAAAAAAGAACCTCGGGGAAGGGAGGGAGGGAGGGGATGGTAGGGGGAAAACAATGGAGGGGGTAACAATGTTCAAGAGGAAGTGTACTCATAACCTCACTCATGTAACTGTAACCCTCTGTATAGTAGCTTTACAATAAAAAAAAAAAAAAAGAAATGAAAATCAAAACAACATTGAGATTCTACCTCATCCCAGTAAGAATGGATATAATCAAGAAATCTAACAACAGCAGATACTGGAGAGGATGTGGCCAAAAGGGAACTCTACTGCAGTGTTGGTGGGAGTATAAACTTGTTCAACCACTTTGGAAAGCAGTATGGAGGTTCCTCAAAAGATTCCACATAGTGCTCCCCTATGACCCAGCAATCTCTCTTTTAGGCATTTACCCAAACAATCACAAACAAGGCCATACTAAAGTTACCAGCACAATTATGTTTATTGCAGCATTATTCTCCATAGTTAAGAAATGGAACCAACCCAGATGCCCCTCAGTAGATGAATGGATCAAGAAAATGTGATACACACACACACACACACACACACACACACACACACACACACACACACACACACACACACACACACACACACACACACACACACACACACACACACACACACACACACACACACACACACACACACACTGGAATTCTGTGCCTCCATCAGGAAGAATGACACTGTCCCATTTGTTAGGAAATGGAAAGACTTAGAAAAAAATTATACTAAGTAAAGTAAGCCAGACCCAAAGAAACATAGGTCCCATGTGCAATAACTAGTATACGTCTAGGATAACCTTACCAGACAAGTAAACAAGTAGAAAAGGCCAAAAGCTATGCACATATGACCACATAAGATGCTGCTAAGCAAAATCAACCCCAAGATAGACAAACAAGAGGGTTTATCTTCATTGCTGTTGTTTTTAATGTACTTATAATGTACTATGTAATTTCTTTTGTTTCTTTTATATGTTCTTCCCTATTGGTTTAACCCGTTTTCACTGTTTTTGATCCTGGTACCCTGAATCTTGTATATACACTTTTTTAATTTGGGAAGGGGAAGGGAAATAACAACAATGCTGTAACAAAGATACAGGCTGACCCATTTTAACAATGAGATGTACAAGACACCATGTTAAAAACAAACTACAATGTTAGGGAGGGGGAAATTGGAGGTGGGGAGAGAAAGGATGGCTGGGGAAAAACGAAGGTGGGGGTAACAATGCTTGACAAGAAATGTACTCATTACCTTACTCATGTAACTGTAACCCCTCTGAAGGGTATCTTTACAATAAAATTTTTTTTTAATTTTTCTTCTACTTTTTTCTCATGGTTTTTAAATGTGCAGCTTTAAATTATAAGAGTGATACAAAAAAACAGCAACCCTGCTTTTGGTCTGTAAGCCATGGTTTTCCAGTCCCCAATTTTAAAATGCATCAACAGTATTTATTAGAAATATTTTCCAAACACTCTTCTCAATAATAAATTATCCATAATGTTGCATTTTACTATACCATTATTTTTAAATTTTATTTTATTGTAAAGATGCTGTACAGAGGGGTTATAGTTACATGAGTAAGGTAATGAGTACATTTCTTGTCAAGCATTGTTATCCCCACCTTTGTTTTTCTCCTACTACCCCTTCTTTCCCCGACCTCCCTCACATCCCCACCCAAGGCTGTATAGTTCATTTCCAACATGATGTCTTGTGAGTATCATTGTTGCAATGGGTCATCCTGTGTCCTTGTTTCAGCATTTTGTTATTCCCCAACCCCTCCCCAAATTAGATAAACGTATATACAAGATGCAGGGTACTAAAATCAAATACAGTGACAACAGGGGATATACCATAGGGGGAAGAACATACAAAAGAAAAAAAATCACTTAGTACATTAAAAACAACAACAAAAATAAAGATGTCTTATGTCCATATCTTGGGAGTTCATTTCACTTAGAATCATCTTACATATGTACATAGCTTTTGAGCGTTTCTGCTCATCTGATAATATTATCCCAGACATATACTCTGGAAAGCAGTATGGAGGTTCCTCAAAAGACTAAACATAGAGCTCCCCTATGACCCAGAAATCCCACTTCTGGGCATTTACCCAAATGATCACAAACAAGGTCATACTAAAGCTACCAGCATTGGGCTGGGAAGGTGGCTCAGTGGTAGAGCGCTTGCCTTGCATGCCTGAGGCCCTGGGTTAGATTCCTCAGCACCACATAAGAAAAAAGCCGGAAGTGGCGCTGTGGCTCAAGTGGTAGAGCACTAGCCTTGAGCTGAAGAGCTGAGGGACAGCATCCAGGCCCAGAGTTCAGGCCCCACGACCGGACCAAAAAAACAAAAAGACAAAAAAAATAAATAAATAAAGCTACCAGCACAACTATGTTTATTGCAGCATTATTCACCATAGCAAAGATAAGGAACCAATCCAGATGCCCCTCAGGTGAATGGATGGATGGATAGATGGATGGAATGGATCAAGAAAATGTGATACACATACACACACACACACACACACACACACACACACACACACACACACACACACACACACACACACACACACACACATAGTGGAATTCTATGCTTTCATCAGAAATAATAACACCGCCTCATTTGTTAGGAAATGGAAAGACTTGGAAAAAATCATACTGAAGTAAGCCAGACCCAAAGAAATATAGGTCCCATGGTTTCCCTTATTTGCAATAATTACTATACCATTATTTTTTCCATATACTAACTTTACCATTATCCACTAAGTTAATGGTTAGAAAAAAAACAAAGCTAAGAAAGCTAAAATATTATTCATATTTCAAAGGCACAAAAAGGAGGCAATAGGGCTGGGAATGTGGCTTAGTGGTAGAGTGCTTGTCTAGCATGCATGAAACCATGGGTCTGATTCCTCAGTACTGCATAAACAGAAAAGGCCAGAAGTGGCACTGTGACTCAACAGGTAGAGTACTAACCTTGAGCAAAAGAAGCTTAGGGATAGTGCCCAAGCCTTGAGTTCAAGCCCCAGGACTGCCAAAAAAAAAAAAAAAATCAAGAAAAGAGAGGCAAAAAAGGGACATTTCACTACACATTCCCTAGGTCATAAATTTCGCATGGAATTAAACTTAAGTCTATATATTTGCCCACTGAAGTTACTGCATACATTTATGCCAAATTTAGAACTTCATTAACCCCCAATGAAATATAATATTAAAATGTGGTCAAAAAATTCTGGCATTTTCATAATTAATGCTATTCCATATGGTAATAATGAAATGACTTAGAAGAATCACAGATCTAATATAAAAACTGTGTTGTTTTAACTTACCAATTTTTTAATTTTTTATTTACAAATACACAAAGGGGTTATGAGTTAGCATGTCCATTTATGTGTACAGTGCATCTTGAACAGTCACTCCTTCCATCATTCTACCTCCCCATTCTACCTATCCCTTCCCCTACCAGTCACATTCACAGTTATATATCTACATTCAGCCACCATTCCCTTTTCCATTCATCTTACCTTCTCCTATTAACCACATTCAAAATATGCTTCAACTTCCTGATATTCATTTTGTTAAACTGTTAATGGTTCAGAGCTGGAATTTTGTGTTATCCTTGCTCAGAGGCCATGATAATCTTCTCAGCATCGTTCCAATCTCAATATTTGTGCTGCCAAAGAACCACAGCTTACCTTTAACTAGTTAAGATCTTGAGCACATAATACAATCTAGTGTTTCCTAAAGTCTATTTTATATTCAAAGATAATTCATTAACATAATAGGGTTCTTGGCCTACTGAGTCTGAGAAATACTATCATTATACATATTTCTACAAGATTTATAAAGTACATAAGCACAGAAATAGTGTGGCGATGAAATCCATTGGTTTAATCTTGTACTTGCCTAACCTGTTCAATTACCTGCTTTGGTTCAGTACTTACATTCCAAAAATCTAAAACTGCTTAAAACATCCTTTGAATTTTTTCAAATCTCTCATACAGATTAGATAAATAAACCTATGGGATACAGGGAATATTGTTGTAAACTCTAACATCCCTTCAGGGAAATAAGAGTCATGCCATCATGGTTTCTTCAATACCTAGTAGCCTGCCCAAATCATCAAAAGTTTTATTTATTTTTTTTTGGGGGGGGGGGGGCTGGTCATGGGCCTGAACTGTGAGCCTGGGCGTTGTCCCTCAGCTCTTCAGCTCAAGGCTAGCCCTCTATCACTAGAGCCACAGAGCCACTTCTGGCTTTTTTTTTCTGCTTATGTGGTGCTGAGGAACCAAACCTAGGGCCTCATGCATGCAAGGCAAGCACTCTAACACTGAGCCACCTTCCCAACCCTCATCAAAAGTTTTGTTTCTGTTCCTATTTACTCATAAAAAGCTCTTCTTATTGACCTACTCATACTTCTACCCTGTTGTTTATCTATGTAAATATAGTTGGATCTCCTCCTACTTAGAAATGTGAAGAGGATGACTAGATTTTCTAGGTTAATATTGAAAGATCTAGCCACTTCCAGCTTCATCTCATGGTATTACTTCTTTTTGTAGATACTAAGTCCCATAGAGAAAAAAACAGGGAAAGAAAAAGGACTAGAATGTCTGGGTGGGGTAGAGTATAATTTTAACTGGGATGGCCATGAAAGACAAGACTAAATAGATTACATTAGATCACTATGGTGGATGAGAAGAAGGGGGAAAAAAAATAACACTCGAAAATGGGAGCATTCTTTGGAAAATGCAGCCAATGTGGTGAAAGTGTCATGATAGAGAGAAATGTGTAAGTGTATATGTGTATATGCATATATATATACGTATATATACATATACCTATACATACATAAATATATACACATATATTTGTGTGTATGTGTTTATACACATATATATGTGAACATACAAAACCCATAAATACTCTATTCCTCTATGTATTACTGAACATGCTATCTTATACATATACACACAGGAAATCATCTGCACTTGATTCCTACATGAGAGGAATAATGCTCCTGTGACACATAGTCAGTGGAAGTGAAACTGGGTGCCCTCTAAAACCCCAAAAGTGCTTCTAAGACAAAAATGGAGCATATACTTACAGTTTTAAATGTAGGGCTAAACTTAGTTTCAAACTAAGAGACAGAATTCATACAGAAAGAAGTCCATATTGCCTTTGACATGTCTAAAGGTGAGAAGGCCAGTGAGTCATAGCTGTGGTTTTATTTTTTTTATTTTTTTTTGAATCCGGTTGTGGGGTCTGAACTCTGGGCCTGGGCGCTGTCCCTCAGCTCTTTAGCTCAAGGCTAGCACTCTACCACTTGAGCCACAGCGCCACTTCCGGCTTTTTTCTTTTTGCTCATGTGGTGCTGAGGAATCGAACCCAGGGCCTCATGCATGCAAGGCAAGCGTTCTACCACTGAACCACCTTCCCAGCCCCACAGCTGTGGTTTTAAACACAATACAAAAAGATGTAAGGAAGCTGAAGCAGGCAGATCACAAGTCTGAGACCACAGGAAAACATTCATAAATAAGTAAATACTTAAGTGTATTCTCTGACCACATGGAATTATTGGAGTAAATGTAATAACAAAGGTGAAAGGACAAATCTCCAAGGACATAGTAAATACATGTCTAAAACTACCTACAAGTCAAAGACAAAGTATCAAGAGAAATCTCAAAACTACACTTACTTGAACAAAACTGAAATACATGTCAAAATTTGTGAAATGCAGCTTCCTAACTTTCTAGAAAACTAAACAATCCATTACCATACTCCCCATCTACATATTCCTGATCATATACACCAAAGAAGCCAACGTGTCCACAAAAAAAAAAAACACACAAATATAAGTAGTAGCTTTATTCATAACAACTAAAATCTGGATATCTTACTATACCATAGAACACTACTAAAAAAAAAGTCATATGCTAAGCCAGTGCCAGGGGCTCACACCTGTAACTAACTACTCAGAAGGCTGAGATATGAGAATCATGGTTCAAGCCAGCAGAGAAGTTTGTGAGGCTCCAGAAGTGGAGCTGTGGCTCAAGTGATAGAGCACTAACCTTGAGCAAAAAAGTTCAGGGACAGCACTCAGGCCCTGAGTTCAAGCCACAGGACCAGCACCAAAAAAAAAAAAAAAAAAAAGGGCACTAAATCACGTAAATAACGTTCTTGGGATGACAAACACACAAAAATGTAGAACAAACTGCTGGTTGAAAAGGGCTGAGGATGGTGGGCAGAAGGATGATATGAAATTATAATAAAGGAACAGTAGCACTCTGCATGCACAGTTCTGTATCTCAAAATATGGTAAGGATATAATAAATACCCAATATGCAATTCTCTTTGACCTTTTAACCTCAGCCTTTAAAATCACCATAGTTCTTTACTGTAAATGATTGTGACTTTCTGAAAAGGAATGGTTTGGGAATTTTTGTTTTTCCAATATAAATTTTTTTAATGAAGCTAATATGTGGTTTCTAAAGGCATCACACCAACAGAGAAGTTCAATGGCATAACAGTTCAAAACTGTAAAACATAGAACAAGGTTTCCAAATGTTTCACATATCCGTAATACATGCTGGTCCTAGGGCTTGAATTCAGGGCCTGGGCACTGTCCCTAAGCTTCTTCTGCTCAAGCTTAGCACTTTTACCACATGAGCCACAGCTCTGTGCTGAGGAAGGAGATGTGGAGAACAGTACTACCTATAAAAAAAAGTAGCATTCTAAATAAAAGTAGCATTACAAGCTCGCACCTAAAATCCTAGCTACTCAGGAGGCCAAGATCTGAGGATTGTGGTTTGCAGCAGCCTAGGCAGGAAAGTCCAAGAAATTCTTACCTCCAAGTAACCACCAGAAAACCAGAAGTAGAGCTGTAGCTGAAAGTGGTAGAGTGCTAGCTAGCCTTGAGCAAAAGAACTCAGGGATAGTGCCCAGACCATGAGTTCAAGCTCCAAGACCAACAAAAACAAAAGCTTTCCAAAGGCATTTAAATTAAGTAATTTCCAAAGAGGAGTGAATCCCCAGCAACTTAGGAAACCTAGTTACCCAGAACACCTTGTTTTCTGAGAACTGTGGTTAAATATATGTGTGTGAGAGATTATATTATATATTATATATAATTAAAGCATCTGTAGAAGGGATATGGTATGCAACATTTCCCATACTTCTTTCAAATCCTTTATCTTACAGAGTACCTTAAAATACTGGCTTAAGCAGTATATGTGTGTATACATACATATATGTACACTTTGATATATATAATATATACTTTTCAAACTTTATATATCTATTACAAACTTTAAAAGCCCTAATGTGTTTAGGTTAGTGAAAGTGAATGAAGAAAGCAAGAATTATTTTCATACCAATATCACAACCTCGTTAAAATTTTCAAATAGATTTTAGCTTTGACTAAAAAAAATTCCATTCATTTAAATGCTGTAGATATTAAGCTCATATCTCAAAAGCATTCAAACATTTCAAACTCTTGTGCCAAAGATAAATTCATGCTGCCCTCTAATGGTTCAATTTAGTTTTTCCTGTACTACATGAGAAAGGTGATGATAAATACAATTTTTTATATTATAAATGAAGAATGACATCAAATAGTGAAGGGGGAAAAAACATCAATTTTGGGTATAATTAAGTTCAAAATTAACTACATTTGCTATATTCATAATGAAGACTCCTGAATATCAAGTCATTTCCATTTTCATTTGCTTATGCATGTGTCAACCAAGTCAAAACTATAGACTTCTGCTGTGTATTCTGCAACAGTCTTCTCAAATTTAGCTTCTTTTCAAGTAAGTCTATGACAATAATACTCCAGCTTAAGTGTTCATATCCCACTAAAGAATTAGGAAACTTATATACATTTTTGCATGTTTACTATATCCAAAAATTTAAAGAACATCTAAAATTTTAATCAGCATACAAAACTTTTCATTAGAAAAAAATAATAGCTTCTGTAATATAAAAAGTATATTTGTGGTTTATTTTAAAATTAACAGTTTTACTACTTTAAAAGAATCCAAAGGAATCTAAATTACACAGCAAGTTGATACATACCTACTTAAAAATACATATGCTCTATTAAATATGTCGGAAATTCTACATTGCTTTTTTATTTTCTTCAAGTTCCCTTTTGTTCCATTATCCCCATAGAACTTTAACTTGTAATACTTTATGGTTGAAAATTTGTTGGCATTAGGTAAGTCCATAAGTACCAACATAAGTAACTTATTGAAGAGAATTCAGCAAGTAAGAGCAAGGACTGACAAATGAGATGACATCAACCAAAAAGCTATATATCTGAAAAGAGATTAACAATCACTACATATAGGGAGCTCAAAAATGAACTCTCAAAGAACTAACATCCCATTTAATAAATGGCAAATAAACTTAACAGCCTGTTCTCAAAAAAAGTACAAATAGCCAACCAATACATAAAGAAATGCTCAACATCCCTGGCCATAAAAGAAATTCAGTCAAAACAAGATTAAATTGAGAGTTCATCTCAGTCCAGTCAGAGTAGCATCATCAAAAATATACAAATGCTAACAATGTGTATCACTGCTGGTAAGAATGTAATCTAATGCAACCATTACAGAAATGAATATGGAGGATTCTCAAAAAACTAAAAATAGAAGAAGCATACTATCTGGTGATATCATTCTTGGG